CTGACCACTGACCAGATTCCCTCTGCCTTCTCTGAACACATCCCCTGCAACCATGTTCAGTAGGTCCACCTCCTGCCCTCCCCTTTCCACCCCTGGCCAGACTCTGAACTCCAGGAGGAGAAAGGAAAGAATGAATAATGAATGGGAAGCACTTTTGAACCCCAGAACTGCATTATCCACAGGAAGTAGTGCTGGAGTGGGCTTTTCTCCTGTCATTATTTTAGCCCCAACGGTCTGTCTGAGGAGAACCCCCCACCCCCATCCTCCATCCTCACAGTCCAGAGCTCACTGTAGAGAAAGGAAGTATATTGTCTGTATCCATAGTGATTCCCTGAGCCTGGAAAGGAGACTGGCTGGAACTCTGACTTCCAATCATAAGTGTCACCACCAGGCAGTGAAAAGCACAGACCTTGCCCCTCACTAGTCCCTGGCCACATTCTATTCCCGGCTCTAGCCAAGCTCCTAACGCATGTCCAAATTTGGCCTCCCTAAAGCATTCAGGCCTGCTTGCCTTCTTTTTTGCAGCCAGGGCCAGGTCAATGAATGATTACACAGAAGACTGTGATCTGGGACACACACATAAAAGCAAAGCACCCTTCTGGGAAGACTTTCCTCACCAGCCATCCTGGATCTGGCTTCCTAGACTCTGGAGTTTTGTCTCATAAAATCCGTCCTTTGGCTACATAATTATAACATCCCATAGTGTTACCTTAGTGCAAGCACTAAATTCATTTCATGCTCACAGAAGCTGTGCAGCCACAAAGGGCAAGAATATCATCCTTCCTTAATGAGGATTTGGGCCAGAGACCCACAGGGGCCTGGCCAAGGTCACACAGTGCCAGAGCACTCCTTCCCACCCCCATTCCACAGTGACTTCTGTTGTTCTCAGGATCTTTGGCTCATGAACAACGTTGGAATGCATACCATGTGCTGCCCACACCCAGGGCATGCAGACCTAAGCCAGCACAGGGAGGATGGAGCTGGAATACCCAGAATGGGGTTGACCAAGCACAGCTGGGGGTGGGGGGGCACAGTGTCAGACAAAGGACTAAAAGATGGAGGATCCTGATTTTTAAAATATGTCTTCCTCACAAGGACAAGTCATAAACATTCATTAAGCATAAATAATATGCTATTTTCAGACACTTTCCTTAAAGTCCCACAATAATCCTATGAAAGAAATCTATTTATCTGACACCATGCTTATTATGTGCAAGACACTCTTTTAAATAGAACATTTAGCATGGCCAGTAGCATGGTCCAGTTAATATTGGTACCAGACACTTTTAACATCCTCCTAGCATGCATATATGGTAGCTACTATCATCACTCCCTTTTTTACAGATAAGAAAAGTGAGGAACAAAGAGGTTAAGTAACTTTTGTAAGGTTATCCATGGTAAATAGTAGAGATGGATTCAAGCCACAGCAATCTGGCTCCAGTGTCTTCCCATCTTTAGTTTACTTTATATCGGTTTTTAGCTCTGACTTACCAGAGACAAGCAATAAAAGGTGGAAAGCTATAATTTGAACCCAGGTCTGGCTTAGATTAGGAAGCCTGATCTGAGCCTGCATATTGACTTTTCACATTCTGCCATACCCTCTGTGTTGTTTTCATTGCAACTTAGTAGCCACATACCTCTTAGCAGCCAGTTCTGCCACTTGCAGGCTGTGTGCTTAGTCACTTAACCACTCAGTGATTCCGTTTTCTCATCTGTAAAG